TTGTCATATCAGGCTTCTGTTGAGTACTGACGTTCACTGAAAACATTCTTTCTGCAGAGCGGTGTGAGGCTAGAAGTTTGAATTCAACTCAGTGTTTACCTCCCCTTTACGAAAAAGGGCTATTTATTCCAAGTAATTTGTTTGTGCTCAGAGAATTTAGTGCTGGAGTAGGAGTTTCGTTTTCTTTAGAGAGAGGGATATTCACCGGGGTTCGGGTGTACTCTGAAGAGATGGGTGTTAGCTGTCGTTTGAAGGACACCAGTGTATCCGTAATCCGAGTGGGAATGGGAAGGTGATTCCACCAGCGTAGAACATTGAATGAAAACATTGTGGAAAGTGACTATCCATCTCTCTGCGCTGGCACCACAACACAGTGCTCTCACCCTAACCGGAGGCTCCTGTGGTTATCACGATGGCTTTACAAGCGGTGGGTCTCCTGTTAGACACTGGGCGGAAACATTCAGATTTGCTTTTACGCACATTCTCTATTGGCTCTCTGCTTACTGGATGATCCACGATACAAGGGCATGGATCTGTCAAATGTCATGACTTGACGTTGTACGAGGATTTGACGAAAAAAATGCCCTGCAAACCTTAAAAAGCAACACCATCCCAGGACAATTCTTTTGATCCCCTTTCAGTGCACTTGCATTAAAGCCCGCGTGATGCGGCACTTTGTCAGTGTTACTGTATCATTCGGACATGGGGGCAGAGAGTTAAAGAATTCAGCCTGAGTGCACTGCCACAGGTTCAGTTTGTCAGAAGTGGGATTCGAACCCACGCCTCCAGGGGAAACTGCAACCTGAACGCAGCGCCTTAGACCGCTCGGCCATCCTGACATGCAAGCTTGGCAGGAGCTGTCTCCTGGGAGCCACACCACAGTACCGTGACATGGAATCTGGTGCTTCACAGCTTGCCCAGCTCCGGCTGTCCAGCTCATTGGCGCTGCAGGCAGCTAATCTGTGTTCGCCTCCTGGGGCTGCGCCTAGTTTCAATAGCCAACACTTGACAGCTGTCATTGCTTACAGCCACACCACCCTGAGGGGGCTATAGAGCAAACAGGAAGTGAGTTGGCAGCAGTAAGGAGAGAAAGGCTCTCCCCATTTTGTTTGTCTACCTTTTTGTTTATTGACCTTGAGTGTTTTTGTTTGTTTTCTTTTTGTCTTTAAAAACCACCTAACAGCAGCATTTTGCTGACTGAAGGGTGGTTATGTAGTGTGTTTTATTTTTAATCATGGACAGATTCCCCGGCAACGACATGGAAATGCAGGGACTTGCAAGAAAGGATAAAGAAAATGGGCTGGATAATAGACGAAGAGATAAAGAAAATGGACTTGACAACAGACAAAGAGATAAATAAAATGAAGAGCCCGGCCAACGAAGAGGTGAGAAAGGTAAGGATAAGCAAGAGGTACAAAGAAGAGTATGCACAAAGGAAGCAACAGTAACTGTAGAAGTAGAAAATGTAAAAGATGCAAGAAGATTTAATATAACCAAAGCAGTCACGGAGTTGATTGGAGAAGGAAGAATTCTGGCGGTGAGACCCAAACAAACAAAGGGAGTATGAAGTAACAACGGAGACTGAAGATGACACCGAAATTTTAATAGACAATGGATTGACAATTAAAGGAGTGAAATCTGAAGTACGGAGGTTACAAAACAGAGACTATGTTGTTTCGTTCAAGCATCTGCCTGTTTACCTAGCAGATGAAGAAATTTTAAGCAAGCTAGAGAGATGGGGAGTTTTCCCCATATCTAAAATTAAAAGAAGATTGTATCCTGGCACAAACATAGAAGATGGAACAAGGTTTGTAAAAAACTGATTTCCGGAAGAGATGGTCTCCTTACCATACAGTACCAAAATTGAGACGGCGGAAGGGCCACAGCACTTTAGAGTCATGCACACCAATCAGGTAAAAACCTGTCGACTATGCATGAGCTCAGAAAATGTGATGAAGGAACCCCCAGAATTCAGGTGCTTCAAATGTGACGAAAGGGGACATTTCGCAAGGACCTGTACAGCTGTGTCGGGCCCGGATTGTAAATTGGCCCTAATACCTGCAAGGAGCTTGTCACGCTGAGTTGGCTTTGTCTGCTCGATTGACCAGCGCGTACGCCTTGTTTTATCCTTGCATGCCTAACTTCGCTGGTGGAAGCTCTTGTGGGGTTTCTGTAGTGTAGTGGTTATCACGTTCGCCTAACACGCGAAAGGTCCTCGGTTCGAAACCGAGCAGAAACAGTGCTCTTCTTTTGGCGAGAAAATAATAGCATCCACTGCCGCACCAGCAATGATCGTCGACAGGCACCCAATCAAAATGGGGTTATCTGCTTGATTTGCCTGAAGGTTTCCGTAGTGTAGTGGTTATCACGTTCGCCTTACACGCGAAAGGTCCCCAGTTCGAAACTGGGCGGAAACAACCTCTGGCTTTTATGACAATTGTCAAATCAGGCTTCTGTTGAGTACTGACGTTCACTGAAAACATTCTTTCTGCACAGCGGTGTGAGGCTAGAAGTTTGAATTCAGCACAGTGTTTACCGCCCCTCGCGGTGTCGCAAACTTGCGTAGAATCTGATTTCTTTTAGCTTTGTGTTGTGCATGAGCAGGTGGCCAGTGCGTTTGCTGGCCCTTCACGGTGCAGACCGTACAAGACAGCTCTTTAAAAAAAGACTATAAATACTTGAAGCAGCACTGGCCTATTGGTTTCCGTAGTGTAGTGTTTATCATGTTTGCATTACACGCTAAAGGTCTCCTGTTCGAAACTGGGCGGAAGCATACAATTAGCAGACACTTTTGTCCAAAGCGACATACAATAGTGGAGGTATTCAACAAGACGAGGCAATGCATATGAAAAAGGGCTATTTATTCCAAGTAATTTGTTTGTGCTCAGAGAATTTAGTGCTGGAGTAGGAGTTTCGTTTTCTTTAGAGAGAGGGATATTCACCGGGGTTCGGGTGTACTCTGAAGAGATGGGTGTTAGCTGGCGTTTGAAGGACACTAGTGTATCCGTAATCCGAGTGGGAATGGGAAGGTGATTCCACCAGCGTAGAACATTGAATGAAAACATTGTGGAAAGTGACTTTCCGTCTCTCTGCGCTTGCACCACAAGACAGTGCTCTCACCCTAACCGGAGGCTCCTGTGTTTATCACGATGGCTTTACAAGCGGAGGGTCTCCTGTTAGAAACTGGGCGGAAACATTCAGATTTGCTTTTACGCACATTCTCAATTGGCTCTCTGCTCACTGGATAATCCACGATACAAGGGCATGGATCTGTCAAATGTCATGACTTGACGTTGTACGAGGATTTGACGAAAAAAATGCCCTGCAAACCTTAAAAAGCAATGCCATCCCAGGACAACTCTTTTGATCCCCTTTCAGTGCACTTACATTAAAGCCCGCGTGATGCGGCACTTTGTCAGTGTTACTGTATCATTCGGACATGGGGGCAGAGAGTTAAAGACTTCAGCCTGAGCGCACTGCCCAGGCTTGGTTTGTCAGAAGTGGGATTCGAACCCACACCTCCAGGGGAGACTGCGACCTGAACGCCAGCTGCCGAAGGATAGTCCGACAATATTTCACAAATGTTGAAGATGAGAGCCAATCGGAGCGATTCGCTCCAACATTGTAGCCAATCACGTTGCAGCGCTTCAACATTTGCAGCCAATCGCGGACCGGAATTCTCAACATTTTCAACATTTGACCAATCAGAGTCGAGACAATGTTGAAGCCGGGGGGGAGGAACCGTTCCAAGAATCACCGCTAGGTGTGCAGTCAAACAGGTTAGTCAGATGTCAATCAATTTTCCGAACTGAGCCGAAGGTACACGAAGGAATGACGCGGTCCTCTGGAGGCGGGTCAGAGGTCAAAAAAGTTCATTGACCATCAGTGATATTCAACGAACACCATCATTCGACAGAGCACAGCATCGTTTTGCTTACAGTAAAGGATTTTTTCCGATAGTGATTTCTTAAAAAAGGTAGGAAAAACTACACAATTGCACGAATTAATGTTTTAGTGTGTTGTATTTCAAATTTGGATACTTTAATTCAAAACCGTTTAATTTATAGGAGAAAAATGTCTGGAAAATCTCATGAAGCCATGTCAGACGCTGACTGAATTTCACGTCTGAAAAAGTTTGCCAGCACAGGAGTTTGGCCATCAAATGAGGGAAACAGGCCAGCTCCTCGACAAAAAAAGTGGCATGAGATTTATCAAAGGGTGTGTATTTCGTTTACATGATATAACGTTTGCTGAAATTTGCTTAACAGAGTAACGTTAACTTGTTAGGCTTCAGTACATTCAGTACAGTATCTGTGTAAAACATGTCATACTAGTTTTTAAATATTAAAGTGTTTTAAATTGCATGTATTTTGAGATATACGTCGAATAATTTAGTAAGTTTGACCGTTTATGAGAGAGATCTGAAAAGGTGGGGGAAGGGATTATGAGTACAGTATACAGCATGTGGTTTTAAGGCCTGAAATGTTCCTGTCCAGTTCCCCTTATTCTTCTTTTCGTTTTTGGAGGTACAAACTGTACGATTACATATTAGACAAATATTAAACACATTCTAGAAACAGTGGTAAATTAATTTACAGAGCTATTGTGTGCTTTATTAAGGGAGTCATTGAGTAAAAATTCTTATTTAGTTATATAAGTTTTTTGTATTGTATAAAATTATTTAATATATCTTTCATGATTTTTTCAGATTAAGAAATGCCCATTGCAATCTCGTGGGCAGAGGACTTTGCTTGGAGGTGTGCTGAAATGCACATGTGGTTTTCACACTCAAAAGGTACATTTTTGAGTCAATATGTGTTTATTTTTATTTACTAGAATGCCTTTCCTTTTTTATGATTATATGTATTTTTGTGATTATTTTCAGCATAGTACCGCTTCTGCTGCTCCAGCACAAACGGTGCAACAACCTGCCCCTACTGTACCTGCTCAGGAGGTGATGGAGACGAGACAACTTGAGGCCCAGCCCCAGCCCCCGTCTACTCCATCAGTGGCATCAAAGATTTCACCGCAATTGTCAATGGTAATTTTTTAAAAATCAAAAGAAATGACAATTTCAGTGTTTCAAGTGTTCAAGGTGTTCAAAGTTCAAACATAGGAGAGAAAAGAACAAAAAGCAATAAAAAAGTTGAGGTGTTGCTAGAGCCCTGCTTCTTTTCACACCTCTTGCACAGTGGGGGGTAGCAGACACTTGCTGATTGGTCGGTTTGAGTTTCTGTGATTGGATTAAATTACATGGTCAGGTCATGGTCAGGGTCACAGTTTTTAAAGCTACATTTTAACCTCTTGTCTTCAGATAATGATACATAATAAACACTAATAGTAAATACTTTGTTTTGATTTTAAGTGTAAGCTAAAATTTGTACTTTTTCTAAACAACGAGTCTGAGGTATTATCTTGAAAAAGTACTTATTTAAAAATATATATATATTTTTTTTTTGCTAACACAGGTATGATATTTTTTCTTCTGGGAGAAAGTCTTATTTGTTTTATTTCGAATACATTTTTCAAGGTCAATATTATGAGCCTCTTTAAGCTTTTTTTTTTTTTTTTTTTGGCATAGTCTACAAAACAAACCATCGTTATACAATAACTTGCCTAATTACCCTAACCTGCCTATTTAACCTAATTTACCTAGTTAAACCTTCAAATGTCACTTTAAGTGGTATAAAAGTGTCTTGAAGAATATCTAGTCAAATATTATTTACTGTCATCAGGGCAAAGATAAAATAAATCAGTTCTTAGGAATGAGTTATTAAAACTTTGATGTTTAAAAAAATGTGCTGAACAAATCTCTCCATTAAACAGAAATTGGTGGAAAAAAATAAAAAAGTGGGCTAAAAAATCAGACTTCAACTGTATATAACACATAGTGATGTTGTACTATACAATGTATGTTTTTGTTGAAATGCATGATGTAATAATAGTACAATAATACTGTATATAACATAATGCAATACTTTATTCCTTTGGTAGTAAAAAAAAATATTTGTTTGCATATTGCTCCTTGATCCAAATGTGTCACATTTATTTTCAATGAACCAGTTGTCTAATTAAATCTATTCTAACTTATATCTTATTTCTACCTGTAAAAGTAGCAGAGGGTGGTAGTAAAAAACAGCTTGAACTCGAAACACTGTAGAGAAATCAAACTGATTGTATAACTGACATATAGAAAGATAGTTTCTAATTGCTTGAAATTTAATGTGATATACACTAATGTTCAAAAAAAATTATTATTGTTAAAATATAAAAGCTTAATATTACTCATATTTTGCAAGAATTCTATTGTGTTTGATTTGCTCATAAATTAAGTAGATTTTATTTGATTTGAATTGTTTGAATAAATTATTCTTTATTTATTTAATTTGCCTATATTATTATTTCACATTATTCCAGTTTTTACTAAATATTTGATCAAATAAATGTAGCCTTGATAAACATAATTAAAACATAAAAAAATACATTGAGCAGATCGCAAACCTTTGAACAGTAGTGTACATTTTGCCATTGTGAACACAGTGTTTTTAATGAAATGCTTTTTGTCTTGCCCTTTTTGAGTTCACCAAACCAAGATTTTCCGGATCCCACATTGCTGCAGCAAAGCCAAATCTTAGTGTGGCTAGAAGACCATCACAGGTTGACGTTCAGCCCAGTTCAGCAGTGTGTAGTGCTTCTACACCAAGCACGGCTGTAAGTATTGTCATAATCCACATAGCTTTCTGAGAGAATTTGGTATAAGCATTTGTTTTACGTAAATTCGTATTTTTATTAAGTACAGTCACATTAAATCTCAATAAAACATCTCTGTAGTATTCTTTTAGTGCATAAAAACATATATATTAAAAATAAGCACCATTCTTTAAACTTTTTGTTCTGCATAGAAGCGCTGTGACAAAATTTTACAGTTTAGCAGCAATCATTCATTCCCAATGTATTTTATACATTAATGCTCAAATAAAGTAATGGTTGCCAAAAATTCTGATTAGTTAATGTTACTTATAGATATATATTTATAAAATGCACTTTGTTATACTGCTTGTTTGTACAGACACAGGACCTTCAAGTTTCTGCCCCCGTCCTCACATCCACTACGGCAGTGACCAGTTCCACAGAGCCGTCCGGCATTGTCTCAGTAAGTAATTTCATATTTTCTGTCCAAAAAAAGGTAATTTGGTTTGCATATTTGCTGCCCCAGCTGAATTC